GGCATCAAACAAATATACAAAGTAATTATAGTAATAGGGCCAAAAGCGGAAGTACACATCAAAAGAATGGGTCCATTGAGCTACACTAATATGAGCAAAATGTAGCACAACCACGTCATTTATATTCCCATGCAAAAAGAATACAAGTGTTAAAGGAAATTGTGCACAACATTTACAAACCCAAGACTACATTAACAAAACAAAGTAAAGTCAACGTATGAAGTGAGTCAAGACAAAACTCCATCACGGAGACATGACTCAATTGGGTCTCAAAAAGGATGCCTCTTGAGGCTGACTCTAGGGTTGTGCTCTATGCTGCAGATTACCTACATGTGCGTTCATGAAATTGGGTGAGCGAAGCTCAATGAGTAACAATACAGTAAAACATTGTAAATAAATAGTCATAAGATTCTCACAATACTCAAAATCGTATAAATAAATGGCCATAGGCTCAGTCATGCTTCAAGACGGCCTCGGGCCCAATATATAACAAAATGGCCTCAGGCCCAATCATATATCAAAACGGCCTCAAGCCCAATCATATAACAAAACGACATCGGGCCCAATCATATAACAAAACGACCTCGAGCCCAATCATATAACAAAACAGCCTCAGGCCCAATTATTTAGTACATGTCATATAATATCAATGAAGTTTCATCATTTCCAATCAATTCATAATGTTGGCATCAATCACCATTCATGGTTTAAGATACGCAACGAATAGTGTAAGTATACTATATTACTACTTACAGTGCGTTTGGTCTTGCGGCGTTGCCTCTGGCTCCTGACCTAAACAAAACATGTCACATACACATTCGATAAATCATTTGTTTCAATTTGTACACTTTTCTTTAATTTCTCTCAAGTGTTCAATGCTAATCTTCTCTACATGTGAATCGCATACAAATCATGTTCCAAAGATGTACTTTAAAGGGCCCTAAATGTTCATGAATTAAATTAATGTTTCCTATAATAATTTCATATGTTTTTCGGTGAACATAACATGTTTACTTATTTCAGGTTTAAGGAAATAGCAAGAAGCGAAAGGAAACTAAGTTAGGGTAGGAAGTGGCATGAAACGGTTAAAAGAAAATAAGTAGCTTTCACTAATTTGAGCATAACTATTTTTGTACTTAGAATTTGGGTATGAGATCACCACCATTAGAAACTAGACTTCGAGGTCTTGAATTTAGGCTCAAAAATCGCTTAAAATGGAGTCCAAATGAAAAAGATATGCCTTTTTGAAGTTGGACTGAAACAGGGGTTCCGCACATGCGGGGAGTCTTCACCGCTCGTGCGGCCCAAATCTGCTCAAGCGGAACTACCAGCTGCTCGAGCACCCAAGGAACATAATCAAAACTTATTTTTTTTTCTTCATATTCTGCTCGTGCGGTGCCCGTGGCCGCTCGTGCAGTCTGGGCAAACTCAAACAGTCTGAAAATGGCCAAAAATGTAAAACCCTCCAAACTCAATTCCAAGCTCAAATCAAAGCAAAACTCACTCAAAATGTAACAACCCGACCCTCATATATGCTTGTGATATATGTTTGTCCTTTATTCTGTGCTGTTAAATGACTAAGATGAAGCTATACAAGGGAATAAGTTCAAGTAACTATGTTGTAATGTCTTGTGGAATGAATTGTATCTGTTAGGAAAGAAATGTATCTGTTACTACTCGAACGATAAAGTTGAAATTGAGGGCCTTAGCGGCTTAATAAATCAAAATTGATCATATATTTGGAACCAGCATAATTTTTAGGTAATATTAAGCACTTCTGTGAAATTTCAATTTCGAATGTGTAAACGATAGATTTTCGTCTTATTCTCTCCTTATAGAAATATATGTATATGATCTTGGTCATTTGACAAACAAAAGAACTCATAACTCTAGACTTGAGAAGTGAAGGGATAGAGAAAGAAGGTCCTCAAGAAGGTTGAGATTTGGGCTTAAGGTATGTAAATGTTTGTCTAGTTTCCATCCACAACCCTTCTTGTCATAATTTATGTGAAGATGTTTCTATAATCTTGTTCCTAAGAGTTGGAATTGTAGTGATGTGAGTATGAGAAGTAGTAAATTAGCAAGATGATCTTACCTTGCATGTTTTGACTCAATTTGAAGTATCTATGAGAAACTTTATTCTATTTCTTCAATTGACTTGTTTGAATTCAAGTATGTGGCATGATTTTATGTTTATGAGTTGAGATGTGAGAACAAGTAGGAACCTTGTGAATGGGAGTGAAGTTAAGTTGTGGATTCATGATTTGATTTTTATTCAAATGAAATATGCAATTTGATCCTTGTTCACATGAATTCATATGCTTTGAGCTTATATATATATATGTAATTTAAAGCTGGATTTGGAAGCCCTCAACATGTCTACTAGGGGAAGAAATTATGCAGAATTTCGGACTTTTGGTGCAGAATCGCCGCACGTGCGGGGCCTAAGGCCGCACATGCGGGAACCTCAGCCGTACGTGCGGGAGTCACTGCCGCACGTGCGGGAAAATGGCAAAATTCTGGACTTCAACACTGCAAAAAAGGCACGTGCGGGGCCTCAATGCCGCACGTGCGGGAGGTGTGCCGACGTGCGGGAGATCCTAGCCACACGTGCGGCTCAAGCCAGAAAAGTTGGGATGCTCCGTTTTACGTGTTGGGTCCTCTAATGTTGTCAAAACCTGTAATTTATATCGTTTGAATGTTCGTTAATTCAATCAAAATAAGTGAACCGAATGTCGATTTAACAAGGATAAAAGGGACTAATGTGATTTTTCATGTGTGTAGGAAACGCCTCAAAAGGAAGTGCATCGACACAACACAGTGAGTGATAGTACTTCAATGTATCTCTACTCAGTATTTATGTTTATTGACGTTGTGACCCTTGTTGAAAGTTTTATCATATTATGTATTGACGTTATATCTTGACGTTGCGAACCTCATTATCAAACTTGTGTTGGTATGAAATGATATATTTGCTATAAGTGATTCAATACAAAATTGTGGAAACATTGAAAAGGGTTGTGAAGTTGTACACATCTTATGTGGAAGCTTGTGACTAATGGAATGTATCAAGGCAATTGTGAATTTGTGAACCAATGTGGCTTAGAGCCATTTGTGAACCAATGTGGCTTAGAGCCATTTGTGAGTCAATGTGGCTACGAGCCTAATGTGAAACTACGTGACCAAGGGTCATTTGTGAATTGTGAACCAATGTGGCCAAGGGTCGTTTGTGAATGATGAATTTATGAGGTCAAGGGCCGATGTGTGAAATATGAATTTATACTATTGTAAGCTTATGAATCGAAAAGAACCAAAGGTCTATGTGACGAATTGTAAATTATGAACCCAAGGACTCTTTTCTGAATGTGTGAAGTTCTTAGGCCAGGGGCCACATTATGACAATTATAAACCGATTACGTTGTCCCAACAAGCAGTACAGAGACAGACTAATTACACGATTTCAGCATTAAATATGTTTACAAGCATACTAGTACTATTGTTCACTGAGCTTGGCTCACCCTATGTTATGTCTGTTTCTGTAGGTAATCAACCAGGAGGTCGATCTTAGCTCGGCATCGTCATACTTTTGTCAGCCTAGGCACAGCCAAGCTTGGAGTCGGGACCCTACTTTTGTGGAGTTGTTAGATGATGGCTCACACTTTTGCTATTGGCTTAAGTTGTCATGTACTTAATGATTTTGTTATATACCCCACCTCGGGGTTGGTTTTGTATATGCCTGTAAATAACTAACTCTTAATTGTATTTTGGCTTTTGATGTACTTGTCCTGTGAAATGTTTATGATCCTGGCATGACTTAGTAGCTCAATGGATGTCATATTTTCTGGTTTTTATCAATTATGTTTTACAGCTTCCGGGCAGGCCCCTCTATGGAACTAGGTTAAGTGTCCTTTTCTGTTAGGTCATGCCCGAACTTTTAGGGGCAAGTTAGGGGCGTGACACAAAATCATGATACATAAGCATGATACAAGTGTGATTCCACATTAAACATATCAATCTTGTATCAACAACAATTCCAAGGTCTCATCTTTTTCCCATATTCACACATGACATAAACAAGTTCAAAATACATGATCCATGGGCAATCTTTCAACAAATCTTGTTTTCATGAATGATTAAGGGTTTGCTTCATGGGTCAATCACAAGAGTGAACTTAAATCAAACAAAGATGGAGAGATTAGTGTTCAACTTCATGCTTTAAGCTCAAACCACCATATAACTCAAAACCCTAACTCAAATCCCTATTTTCTTCTTGATTTCTTGACAAAGATGAGTTAGAATCAAAGTTTGTGAGTAGTTTTCCATACCTTAGTTCCAATCTACGGTTTGCCCCTTGATTTCCTTCAACTCTCTAGCTTTCTCCTCTTCTTCTCTCTCTAACTCACACTCTAGGGCTCTCAAGCAACAATGAAGAACTAAAGGCAAAACACACATATATGACCAAACTCACAAAACATTATTTAATCATTACGAATCGTAATTTTTCAAAATCTCACTAAAGGCTCTAAAAATCATGCTAATCATAGATATCAAGTCGGTTTTTGTTTATCGCGCCTCAACGGCTCTCAATTTTAGTTCAAAGTTCCAATTGCAACAGATATTCCTACTTTCAATAAATATTTTTCCAAATTCACATATTTCCCATACTTAAACTTGCAAATTCATGTCAAACATATAATCACATACATACTTAAGCATAGTACGGGTTGGGTTATCACAGTCTTCCCCACTTTAGGAAGTTTGGTCCTCCAAACTTGTTTATCTCAAGTTGAAAACAATTCTGGATATCGTTGCCTTATTTCTTCTTCTCGTTCCCAAGTGGGTTCACTTCAATGATGTTCTCTCCATTCCACCTATACCATCGGAATAGTCTTGTTCCTTAATTGTTTAACTTGCCGATCAAGAATTCGAAGGGGTTTCTCCTCATAAGCCATATCGTCATCTAGCACAATTTGATGATAGTCAATAACATAAGAAGGGTCTCAAAGGTAGCCTCGCAACATTGATACATGAAACACATTGTGCATTTGCTCCATGCTCGGTGGTAAAGCAATCTGATAAGCCACTGGACCCAGACTTTCCAAAATCTGAAACGGCCCTATGTACCGGGGTGATAATTTCCCTTTCTTTCCAAATCTTGCGTGCCCTTTCATTAGAGTGACTTTGACAAAAACATGAGCCCCAACTTCAAACTCCAAGTCTCTCCTTCTTTGATCCGCATAGCTCTTTTGTCGACTTTGAGCAGTTTTTAATCTCTGTTGGATGATTGGAATCTTTTCCGTAGTAACTTGCACAATTTCAGGCCCAATCAATGACCTATCCCCAACCTCAGTCCAACAAGCTGGAGTTCGACATCTTCTCCCATACAAAGCTTCATATGGTGCCATCCCAATACTAGAGTGGAAACTGTTGTTATAAGAAAATTCCGTTAAAGGTAAACGAGCCTCCCAACTTTCCCGAAAATCCAAAACACACATTCGAAGCATGTCCTCCAACATTTGTATAGTCCTTTCGGATTGTCTATCAGTTTGTGGATGAAATGCGATACTGAACCTCAATTCGGTCCCCAATGCTTTTTGTAAGCTTTGCCAAAATCTCGATACAAACTTAGAGTCTCTATTTGACACAATGGAAACTGGAACACTATGCAGTCGAATAATCTCCGCAATGTACACCGTAGCAAGTCTATCAGCATTATAAACAGTCTTCACAGGTAGAAAATGAGTAGGCTTAGTGAATATATCCACCACAACCCATATAGAATCCATACCTCGGGGTGTTCGGGGTAAGCCTACAATAAAATCCATAGTTATATGCTCCCACTTCCATTTCGGAATAGGGAGAGATTGAAGTAACCCCGCCGGTCTTTGATGCTCCGCTTTTACTTGTTGACATTGAAGGCACCTTGAAATGAACTCCGCAATTTCTTTCTTCATATTAGGTCACCAAAAAGCTTGCTTGAGATCTTGGTACATTTTGGTATTCCTGGGATGCATAGCAAATCTAGACTTGTGAGCTTCCTCCATGACTCTACCTTTAATTTCGAGAATATTAGGAACACACAATCTTCCCTTGAATTTCAACACTTAAGCTTCCAAAGAAAATCCCGATCTCTGTTTTTCTTCCATCTCATCATATACTTTCTTGAGGAATTTATCAAATTGCCTTTGTTTAATTTCCTCGATAATAGCCGGTTGTGCGGTTATTGCGGCCAACATTCCATCACGTTCATGAAGCACAATTTCCACCTCTATTCTTTCCAAGTCAAGTACTAGTTCATTCCACTCCGTAAGCAAACATGCCAAGTTTCCCGTTGACTTTCTACTAAGAGCATCCACTACCGTGTTGGCTTTACCGGGATGATAATGAATCTGCAAGTCATAATCCTTAATGAGTTCTAATCACCGTCTTTGCCGCATATTAAGCCCCTTTTGAGTAAGAAATACTTGAGGCTCTTGTGGTCGGTGTAGACTTCACATGTTTTTTTTTTGGGGGGGGGGTGAATAAGTCATAAAATAAAACAAAGGATTTACAAGAATACAAGGGAAATACCCCAGGCCCTAACCCAGCTATACAAAAGAACCAAACAAAAGGCAGCCAAACACCAGCTGCAAACAAGACTACTAGATAACCACAAAAGAAAAAACACAATAACCACAAAAGCAGGACCGTAAGCTTCTACAGAGGGGCCACAACCTTGTTCACCCACCATATCTCAAACAAAAATAGGGGGAGAGAACAATAAAGGAGACCCAGAAACTACAACAGCCCGCAAACTAGAGCCTATCTACATCACAACAAAGGGCGAGAACAACATGGCCCAAAAGCACCTGAATTTGCAAAGCAACCACACCACGATACATACAGCAGGTGTAATAATGAATAACCCTACACACCCTAGAGGGATAAGAAAAACAGCAGGCATATCTAGACAAAAAACCATTGAACAATTCGATACAGAACAAATAACTAAAGCAATAAGACTATTTAGTAAAAACAACATATTTTCCAACTTCACATGTTGCTCCATAAAGATAATACCGCCAAATCTTCAATGCAAACACCATAGTAGCTAATTCTAAATCATGTGTAGGATAATTCTTTTCATTTGGCTTCAACTGTCGGGATGCATAAGCAATTACTCTTCCATTCTGCATAAGCATACACCCCATGTAACGACCCCAAAATGCGTATAAGAAGTCATCCTTATTTAACTAGGGGCTAATGTGTTTTAATTTAATTATATCTATTGGAATTGAAGAACTATCTGTTGAGTTACGACTTTAAAATTTAAATTATCGACCTTTATGGGTTCAGAAATCAAAATTGAGTACTTGTATATGTTAATGAGAATTTTTGCAACTATTTGGGAAAATTAATTGGAAATCTAATTTGTCTGATTCGTTAATGTACGTTTGGGTGGTTAACTTGGTACTGCAAATTGAAGGCCTTAGAGGCTTCAGAAACCAGAACAGGGGACATATTTATGATCAGCATGATTTTTAGAGTCATCTGGGATGTTTAATTAGAATTTGATTTTGTGCGATTCGTAAAGGCACATTTGGTTTCCCCTATTATGATGAACTTATGTGTGTATTATATATGCATAGATATATGAGTTGTTGAACTCATCACTTTGGGTCAAATATCTAAGGGAGAGAGAAAGTAAACCGTGAGAGAGAGAGGGAGAGGCAAAACTCATCATCCATGGGGGATTTGAGGTTGATTGAAGAAAATAGAGGAGAGGGGAAGAAGATCAACCAAGAAGCTTAGGAAAATTAAAGGGAAGAACAAGGATTTGGGTAAGGTATGTGGCTCTAACTATTATCCTTGTAGAGAATCCATCTACTACATGAAATCAAGGTTTAATTTGGTAGTTTCATATGTAAATAAGCAACTGTGTTGAATTATGAATGGATTGGGTTGAATTCAAGGAATTAAACCATGCTTTCCTTAAATCTAAGTTATATTTACATGATTTGGGCATATATAATGGAAGGTTGGATATATAGAAAAGGATGAGATTCTATTTGATGATGTTAGTTGATTATGTTTTGGAAGGAATTATACATGTTTTTGAGTAATTAGACTTGAAATCAAGCTTAAAAAATGGATAGATTAAGTCTTGGGGCAAAAAAACCATTTTCGGATTATTTGATTCTGCCCAGACCGCACGAGCGGCAACGGGCACCGCACGAGCGGACATGAAGAAAAAAAAGAGGTTTTCATTCTGCTTTTGGGCGCTCGAGCGGCCGGGTTCTACCGCTCGAGCAGATTTGGGCCGCACGAGCGGCCACCTCTGTTTCAGCATGTGCTGGGTAACTTTGAATAAGCATATCTTTTGCATCCGAACTCCATTTTGAGTGATTCTTGAGCATAAAATCAAGCCCCATAAGTCTAGGTTCCCTTGGTGGTGGTCTCACTCCCAAATTCTATGTACAAAAATAGTTATGGCCAAATTAGTGAGAGTTTCTCACTTTCTGTCTACCAATTTTGTACCATTTCTTCACTTAAACTATGTTCCTATCGATTCCTCCTATTTTCTGAGGCATGGATTATAACCTATGGAGGACTAATGAATTTAGAACCACCATGGCTATTGATTCATGAATAAGAAAGAGATTGGTTTTATCCTCATAATCTGCTATGTACATTTTGTTTGTAGGTCAAGACGAGGACATCGTTCCACTTATTGATATGTGTTCAAATTGAGGAATTATTTGTTGAGCCACGACTGTAAAATTGAAATTACCGACCTTTACGGGTTCAGAAATCACAATTGAGGACTTGGATGTGTTAATGAAAATTTTTAGAACTATTTGGGAAACCTAATTGGAAATCTAATTTGTTTGATTTGTTAATGTGCGTTTGGGTGGTTAACTTGGTACTGCAAATTAATGACCTTAGAGGCTTCAGAAACCAGAACAGGGGACATATTTATGATCAGCATGATTTTTAGAGTCATCTGGGATGTTTAATTAGAATTTGATTTTGTGCGATTCGTAAAGGCACATTTGGTTTCCCCTATTATGATGAACTTATGTGTGTATTATATATGCATAGATATATGAGTTGTTGAACTCATCACTTTGGGTCAAATATCTAAGGGAGAGAGAAAGTAAACCGTGAGAGAGAGAGGGAGAGGCAAAACTCATCATCCATGGGGGATTTGAGGTTGATTGAAGAAAATAGAGGAGAGGGGAAAAAGATCAACCCAGAAGCTTAGGAAAATTAAAGGGAAGAACAAGGATTTGGGTAAGGTATGTGGCTCTAACTATTATCCTTGTAGAGAATCCATCTACTACATGAAATCAAGGTTTAATTTGGTAGTTTCATATGTAAATAAGCAACTGTGTTGAATTATGAATGGATTGGGTTGAATTCAAGGAATTAAACCATGTTTTCCTTAAATCTAAGTTATATTTACATGATTTGGGCATATATAATGGAAGGTTGGATATATAGAAAAAGATGAGATTCTATTTGATGATGTTAGTTGATTATGTTTTGGAAGGAATTATACATGTTTTTGAGTAATTAGACTTGAAATCAAGCTTAAAAAATGGGTAGATTAAGTCTTGGGGCAAAAAAAACCATTTTCGGATTGTTTGATTCTGCCCAGACCGCACGAGCGGCCACGGGCACCGCACGAGTGGACATGAAGAAAAAAAAGAGGTTTTCATTCTGCTTTTGGGCGCTCGAGCGGCCGGGTTCTACCGCTCGAGCAGATTTGGGCCGCACGAGGGGCCACCTCTGTTTCAGCATGTGCTGGGTAACTTTGAATAAGCATATCTTTTGCATCCGAACTCCATTTTGAGTGATTCTTGAGCATAAAATCAAGCCCCATAAGTCTAGGTTCCCTTGGTGGTGGTCTCACTCCCAAATTCTATGTAAAAAAATAGTTATGCCCAAATTAGTGAGAGTTGCTCACTTTCTGTCTACCGATTTTGTACCATTTCTTCACTTAAACTATGTTCCTATCGATTCCTCTTATTTTCTGAGGCATGGATTATAACCTATGGAGGACTAATGAATTTAGAACCACCATGGCTATTGATTCATGAATAAGAAAGAGATTGGTTTTATCCTCATAATCTGCTATGTGCATTTTGTTTGTAGGTCAAGACGAGGACATCGTTCCACCGCTATCAGAAACCTACCACTGTGAGTAGTAGTACTGTGGTTGTACATTTACTTATTGTTAATGATTTTCGTTGTTAACATTCCGTTCTTTGCAAGTAATTATGTTAACATTATGTCGATTGGAAAATCTAAGAGCCTTATTGAGCATTATGGAACTACGGAATCTACGTATCTTTGGAATCGTTGAATCTGTAAAATGTGTATACTTCTGTATGCTTCTGATTAATAGATAATATCTATATTCTATTCTCTGTAAGTGAACTACGTCATTTCTTAATGAATAAAGAAAAGTTATGTTCATTCTTGAATAACGGTTTCTATGTGAATATGAGAGCATACTGATTTGCTATCAATAGGCCATGGGCCATTCAGTTCTGAGTTATCAAGTGTGGACACCTCCGAAGAATCAGGATAATTGGAAAAGATAGGTGTATCCTTATGAATCTAAAGTTATTTTGTTATGTTGCATATGGACCTGAGGTTGTTCAGAATCTATGACATAAATGCATCATTATGTGGCCCACGTTAGAAGGTGAGTTATTCTGTCTTTGTTAAGCATACGGTAATAACATGATACGACCAGAAATGCTCTATTTTTTGATATGTTATCTTTTCAATCAATGAATGATTGTCCATATATGTAAAAGTATTCATAGCGTCCTTAGCACATGGCCCTTGCCCGGGGGTGATAATACCGTGGTCTATGGCCCTTGCCCCTTGCCCGGGGGTAATAATACCGTGGTTCAAGTATGTTACAAGTTCCCGGTACTGGAGGTTCCTTTATGGAACTAAC